TTTCAAATCTGGAAAAAAAACATCAAAATCTAACAAAGACACTACTACATTCTAAAAGAATAATGTTGCTAAGAGGCGCCGTTCAAATTTCGTGGTCCGTTCTTCAAGCACCAGCTTCTGTAGAAACAAATCCAATAATAAATTAGTGAGAAAATATCCATATTCCATTCCAACATAATTAGAATTCGTGATTCCATTCTGATAGAATTGGAATTCATTTACCAATAATTATATTATTTCGGGGAATTCTAACAGTATATGTTCATGATTATCATAAAAAAACATTCTTTTCTGATAGTATACTATAAACGAAGAAATACCATTCAGTTGAAACATTTTAGCAAGCACTTGGTGTGCATCAATTCGTCTAGAAACATACTGTCATTGCAATTGTTATTCTTCTCTGTTTCTTGTCTAACTGTTTGCATCAATTCGTCTAGAAACATATTATTACAAATCAGATACATAGATACATAGTTTTAATTAGATAAACCCATATGTGTAATAGAATCAATCTATATCAGATAAAGCATAATGAAACCCATACAATGTTAACTAAACTATGCTAACAGATGAACAACCCATAAAGCAAAAATCAACAACTCACACTCCTATGATAAAAAACAGATTACATGTTTATCAAACCAGCTTTACTTAAACGTGGTTGTGTATGAAATTAGCAAAAACATCGACTATTTATAAAATAAGGATTTGAAATAAACAAAGAAACCGACTGTGAATGAAATCAACAAATACATCGACTGTGTATGAAATCAGCAAAGAACAAATTTTACATACCTATGAAATCAGATTCAAAAAAGAAATCAATAAAGACATCTTATTCAAACAATGGCATAAAAATCAAAACTGACCTGAGTCGTCGCTGCCTTGCTTCGCCAGAGTGGAGACGACGTTGCGTCGATGAGTAGAAATCAATAACACCATCGACGAAGTAGCAAACAGGGGACGTAGTGTTTTGAGGCGTGTATACGGCGAGTGGAGTCGACGAACCAGAACCACTGTGAAACGTGAATGTCGGCTGCAAACGGAAGAATCGAAGCTGAGAATTGGGATACACTCTTAGGGTTAATGGGTTAGAGTCATAAAGGGCAAAAAATGTATTTTCATATTGGTCGGCCGGAAGTGGATTGTGTACGAGAGGGATATGAGAGGGAAAAGGTTGGGGGCGACGATGAATAAAAGAGAAGAGGGAAGAGGCGGACGTGAGAATATATACTAGGAATTGAGTCTTAAAACTGATATTCCTAAATTAAAGGGATATTAACTGATTTATATATTTACCATAATTAATTAAATGTATAATTACATATTTACCATTTTGAAATGATTGGCCTATATTATTCATACAATAACACAATAATTACTTTAAATACATGAACCTAGCTTTCTCTCTCTCTCTCTATATATATATATATATATATATATATATATATATATATATATATATATATATAATTTTTATTTTTAAAATTAAAAATTATAGAGAAAATTGCAAATTTTGTCTATGTGGCTTGTTGATTTATTTGGTTACAGCCCAATGACTTTTAAAATTATGAAAATCATCTTTGTGACTTGGCTTGTTGATTTATTTGGTTATAGCCCAATGACTTTTAAAATTATGAAAATCATCTTTGTGAATTAATTTCATTGTCGATTTATACTCACACTTAGGCCATGGGGTATGATATTTAGGGGTTTTCAAAAATATCGATATTCGAATATCTGATCCGAAAACAAAAAAAATTCAAAGTGAATTTATCCAAAATTTCGGATATCTAAAATTTCATATTCGGGTTCGGATAGTCATTTTCTAAAATTTTCGACATTTTGAATATCCGATACCCGAAATTAAAATAAATTTTTTAATAACTGTTATTTTCAAAATAGAATGATGGCATGATTAGGAGCTATGGATTCGTTTATTAACCTTCTTAATTTCACTCCCGACAGGTTCTTTCTGTTTTTCTTCATGTATTTCACCGCCGACGGGTTATATATATATATATATATATATATATATATATATATATATATATATATATATATATATATATCTGTGTGTGTGTGTGTGTGTAAGAATTCATTTGAGACGAATATAATTTTGTGAGACCGTGAGACCAAATTTTTTTATTGAAATATTCTAATATTCTATTGTTCGTAAAAATAGAATACACAATATATTCTAACATTATATGTTTTCGAATATTTCAATGTAAAATATGTTAAAGTTATTGTTTTAGAATAATAGAATATTACACATATTAAATTTTTATAAACATTAGAATATTATAATGAGTAAATTACTGAAATCGTCGCTATGGTTTGGTCAGAATTTCACGTTTGGTCCCTAACTTTTTTTTTTGCACTCGGATCGTCCCTATGGTTTGATTTCGTTGTGTTTTTCATCCCTATGGTTTGGTCAAAATTGCACGTTTGATCCCTAGTTTTATGTATGTAAGGGACGAAAAACGCAACGAAATCAAACCACAGGGACGATCCGAGTGCATAAGAAAAGTTAGGGACCAAACGCGAAATTTTGACCAAACCATAGGGACGATTTCAGTAATTTACTCTATTATAATATTTCAGTAGAAAAAAATGGTCTCAGTCTCATAAATTAGACTGTCTCACATGAACCTAACCATATATATA